GGTTAGGGGGGGCATGTTTATCTTTAGTAGGTACTGCTAGTTTTCCAGTGGCTCAATGAATTTACACTCTCACTAGCAATAATTAAGTTATCTACATCCACTGGGCAAGGTGGCTCACAGCTATAATCCCAGCACTTTGGGAGGCTGAGGCAGGTGGATCACTTGAGGTCAGGAGTTTGAGAGCAACTTGGCCAACATGGTGAAAACCGGTCTCTACCAAAAATACTAAAAAAATTAGCCAGGTGTGGTGGTGCATTCCTGTAAACCCAGCTACTCAGGAGGTTGAGGCACAAGAGTTGCTTCAACGTGGGAGGTGGAGGTTGCAGTGAGTCGAGATCCCGCCACCGCACTGCAGCTTGGGCGACAGAGCAAGACTGTCTCAAAAAAAACAAACAAACAAAAAAACAAAAGTTATCCACATCCTTGCCAACTCTTACTGGCAATTTGGACATCATCTTTTGTGAAGTGACTGTTCAAATCTTTTGCCTCCTTTTATTTTATTTTTTTGAGACGGAGTTTCGCTCTTGTTGCCCAGGCTGGAGTGCAATGGTGCAATCTCAGCTTACCACAACTTCCACCTCCCAAGTTCAAGTGATTCTCCTGCCTCACCTTCCCGAGTAGCTAGGATTACAGGCATGCGCTGCCATGCCCAGCTTATTTTGTATTTTTAGTAGAGACGGGGTTTCTCCATGTCGCTCGGGCTAGTCTTGAACTCCAGACCTCAGGTGATCCACTCACCTCAGCCTCCCAAAGTGCTGGGATTACAGGCATGAGTCACCACACCTGGCCTTTGCTTCCTTTTAAATTGGATTCTTTCTTTTACTCTGCAGAAATACTTGATATATTCTGAATATGAGTTACACATATGTATTGTAAGTATCTTCTCCCAGTCTGTGGAATGCCTATTTGTTATGAAATCATGTTTTTTGATGAAAAGAAGTTCCTAATTACAGTGGAGACCAATTATTCATTTTTTAAATGTTTAGTACTTTTTATGGGCAACTACTTTTTTGGGGGAGGGTCAGCAAACTCTAAAAATTTCCTCTCTTGTAAAAACAATTTTTTTTAATATTACCTTTACCTACTTCTAAGATCTATTTGGGATGGCTCACAATAAAACCATAACCCCATTAAAATAAGTTATGAAACAATCATTACCACCACTACCAAGGGAAAGGGAAGGTATAGAAGTTGTAATGAGAAAATGGAGAACTGTTAACAATGACAGGAGCCTCAGGCAAAAGAAAGCTACTGAAATTGAGACTAAAACTTAGCTATCAGCTTTTTGGCAAAATAAAATAAGATTTCTTAAGTCCCAAAAACAAAAACAAAGGACAAACTGAAACCTGGAAGTTTCTTTCTTTTTCATTATAATATTACTTATTAATACTTCAAATTTACTTTTCTTCACTATACACCATGATTCTTCATGGGAGGTTTCTTGACATAAAAAGGAACCACTTCAGGCCAGGCATGGTGGCTCACACCTATAATCCTAGCACTTTGAGAGGCTGAGGTGGGAGGATCGCTTGAGCCTAGGAATTTGAGACCAGCCTGGACAACATGGTGAGATCCTGTCTCTATCAAAAACAAAAGCAAAAAGGAACCACTTTTTTAATGTGGTTACTTCGATTGTTCAATTTCATAAACGGGGTAGAGAATTAAGAACAGTGGGTAAACTTAAAAGCTACTTGTATTTAATTTTAAAATGTACTTTCACATGAATGAGGCCAAAGTCAAATTTATAACACTCTAAATAACAAAATTTAAACTGTGGAGACCTGATTGAGGAGAAATTGGGAATTTCATGCAGATAAGTCCAATGTGAGATTTGCAACACTCAAATAATTAAATTTCAAAATGGAGATCTCACTCGAAGAAACTGGCAACTGAGAGTGCAAAGCACCAAGCATATTTTAGCTGTTTTTGTTTTGAGACGGAGTCTCACTTGTTCACCCAAGCTGGAGTACAATGGTGTGATCCTGGCTCACTGCAAACTCTGCTTCCCGGGTTCAAGTGATTCTCCTGCCTCAGTCTCCTGAGTAGCTGGGATTACAGGTGCGCACCACCACGCCTGCCTGATTTTTGTATTTTTGGTAGAGATGGGGTTTCACATGTTGGTCAGGCTGGTCTTGAACTCCTGACCTCATGATCCGCCCACCTTGGCCTCTCAAAGTGCTGGGATTACAGGCATGAGACACCACGCCCGGCCTCAGCTGTTTTTTTAAAATTAATTATTACTATTTTTTATAGAACGGAGTTTGATCACTTTGCCCAACCTGGTCTAGAACTCTTGGGCTCAAGCAATTCTCCCACCTCAGCCTCCCAAACAGTTTGGATTACTGGCATGAGCCACTGTGCTGGGTCCAGATTTAGGTTTTATATCATTTCTAAGTTTGCCACATACTAGATTCACACTTACCCTGCTTATAAGACTAATAAAGCAACAAAAAAGTTAACCTGGTGCCGGGCATGGTGGCTTATGCCTGTAATCCTAGCACTTTGGGAGGCTGAGGTGGACAGATCACTTGAGGCCAGGAATTCAAGACCAGCCTGGGCAACATGATGAAACCCCATCTCTACTAAAATACAAAAAAAGAAAAAAGAAAAAAAATTAGCTGGGTGTGGTGGCGCACACCTGTACTCCCAGCTACTTGGGAGGCTGAGGCAGAAGAATCACTTCAGCCCAGGAGGTGGAGGCTGCAGTGAGCCAAGATCGTGCCACTGCACTGCAGCCTGGGCTACAGGGAGACTGTCACCTCCCCCCACCAAAAAAAAAGAAAAAAAAGTTAAACTAGTAACTACCCCTTGTCAACCCCATTTTCATCCATGAAAACGTTAGGATTATAGGATAAGCACATGCGACAGCCACTGACAATTCTTGGTACAAAAAACTGATGCAAATGGTCCATACCACTTTTGAAAATAAATTTAAAAATCCTCAAAAAATGGCAGGTGGTTCAAGACTTCAGTTTCTCAAAGACAGAAATTTTTGTCTGTTCCACCATTCTCTTTTGCTTCTCCTAAACAAGTGATACGTATCTATATTATGACAATATTTCAACTAGAATTTTTTTTTTTTTTTTTTTGAGACAAAGTTTCCCTCTTTTTGCCCAGGCTGGAGTGCAATGGTGCGATCTCGGCTCACCACAACCTCCGCCTTCCGGGATCAAGCGATTCTCCTGCCTCAGCCTCCCAAGTACCTGGGATTACAGGCATGCGCCACCACCCCGGCTAATTTTGTATTTTTAGTAGAGACGGGGTTTCTCCACGTTGGTCAGGCTGGTCTTGAACTCCCGACCTCAGGTGATCCACCTGCCTCAGCCTCCCAAAGTGCTGGGATTACAGGCGTGAGCCACCGCGCCCGGCTCAACCAGATTTTTTTAACAAATACTTTAGGGTTTCATCACAACCTTTACTTCTACTATAAAACAGCATAAGAAGCTATTATTACAGCTGTTTGACAGTTGGGGAAACTATGACATACAACGATGAAGTAATGTGCCCAATGTCTGAGTCACAGACAAACTGAAACACATATCCTACTCAACTCTTTTTATGTTCTCTAGCAGCTATTTCCTTTCTTCCCGGCATTAGCAAAACAAGCTGACACTGTGTAGGTAAAGGTAACCACAAACTTTTTATTAAAGTAGTAAATTTAGGCCAGGTGCAGTGGCTCAGGCCTGTAATTCCAGCACTTTGGGAGGCCGAGGTCGGTGGATCACCTGAGGTCAGGAGTTTGAGACCAGCCTGGCCAATATGGTGAAACTATATCTCTACTAAATATACAAAAATTAGCCGGGCATGGTGGCACACGCCTGTAATCCCAGCTACTCGGGAGGCTGAGGCAGGAGAATCGCTTGAACCCGGGAGGCGGAGGTTGCAGTGAGCCGACATCACACCACTGCACTCCAGCCTGGGCGACAAAGCGAGACTCTGTCTCAAAACAAAACAAAACCAGTAGGAAATATAAATGAAACACATTTTAAAAGACCCCTTCAACAGAGTTCGTTCCAGGAATGAACACATGCTGTTCCACGGTCAACCCTCTGCTAGGTAAGCTCCTCCCCTCACCCCAATTTCTTCAGCTGCTGAAAAATTTTCTTCCCACTGCGATCCTTTAAGATCACTGTAGTTATTTCTCCCTAGAGAAAGGAGACAATTTCACTCTGTCTTCTAATCCAGAATCACTTTTCTCTTTAAATAGGTTATCTCTTTCCAATAGCTTGCTTTTCTGATGACAGCAACTTCCCAAGACTTCCCCAGATAGTCCCCATAGGCTCTAGAAGCAGCTGCCACTTTTCTCTAAACACCAATTGCGGCCCTTGGTTCCCAGCCCCCGTCCCTGGAGTCCGTGCTCTCCTCCCCACCACCCTACCCCACCGCTGCCTCAGGCCCTCCCCCCGCGGCGTCGGCAGCTCGTGCTCACCTCGGCCCCTGACAGGAAGGGGTGCGAAGGCCCTGTGATAGTCAGGTAATTGTCATTTCCTCCGGGAAACTGGAAATCAAAAGAAAGCCGCGGGGATAAGTTAGGGGGAGCAGGGAATTAGCTTGGAGCGATGGCTTCTGACCCCGACATTCTGACAACACTCCCCAAACCCCGCTCTCTCTCCTCTCCCGTCAGTCGCCTCTCCACCCGGCTTCCCGTCTCTGCTTCAACCCGGTCGGCCGCGTTCTCTCGCCAGCCTTCTTAGCTATCAGGTTCCTACCTCCATCTTCACACAACCGCTCCCACCGTCTCAGACCCTCATCGCTCCCACCGCCCCCACTGGTCTCGGAACTGCCGTCACTTCCGCAAGGACGTGCGTTACTCTCTGCTCATTGGAAGGAGCGCCGTGGGGCTGCAGCGAGTCAGGCGCTGGCCTATCGCCCCCTGGAGCTTGGAGGGATAATGGCATGTAGAAGTACTAGAGGTGTCCCTGGAGGTGGCATTGGGTACTCCCGACATAAGGAGGATTTCTGGGGAGAGCAATAGAGACGTGATCTGGGCTAGAGGAGCCGGAGAGGGTGGGCGGCCGGGAAGAAGAAGATCGGTAGATTGAGTGGCTAGAGAGGTTGGAGGTAAGTGGCTGTAGAAGTCGGGCGGACCCGGAACCCAGAGGACGCGACATCATGACTTATGCTTATCTCTTCAAGTATATCATCATCGGAGACACAGGTAACCCTCAGGTTGTTTGCCTTCAAGGCTGGTGCGGACGTCCGAAGCTCCCAAATTGGGTGGCGGGGGCGGGGCTCACTTTGTGGGCTGGGCGATTCGAGACGGGCGGGGCGGTTCGGGGCGGCCAGGGGCGGGGCTCGGGGACCCCCGGCTTCTCTGGTCCGGGAAGTCCAGAGTCTAGATGGTGTTCCAGCGCTGCCTGACTCTGGGAGTGTGTTTTCTCTTTCAGGTGTGGGGAAGTCATGTCTCCTCCTGCAGTTTACAGATAAGCGGTTCCAGCCTGTCCACGACCTCACAATAGGTAAGTGCATCTACTTGTTCCAGAACAGATAAAACCTGACTAGCTAAATTACTAAAGTGGAAAGTTAGCAGCCTTCAGTGTTCAAAGTAAAAAGTTATACCTCACTACTTTAAACTAGTCCAAAGTTATGTTAATGAAGTGGTTAATCAAACGTTGATATGTGGCGAGTAGTGTAAGGGAGAGTATATAATTGAAAGGTAACTTTTTAGAGTGTGAGGTAGAGACTTGTCATATAATTTTTTTTCAAGTACAATTTTTTATGTTTATGGAAAATCCCACGAAAGCATAACTGCTTATTTGTAAACTCATCTGTGCTTTGCAGTAAATTAATACCAGCCTGCCTTTTAAAAAGTAAACACCAATACATGGACATTTTTTATATTGGTGAAGAAGCAAATTGAAGAGTCATCCCTGCCTTAGAATTAATAGGCAAATAAAACTAAAAACTTTCCTTTTAAATAAAACAGTGTGTTAACAGTTCCTCAAACGCACTGGGGATCCTGGAAAATATTAACATTTCCCACACATTTGTGATAAGGCATAGCCTGAAGGGGCTTTTAGCTACCCCCCTCTTCATTATCTCCATAACCCCAGTCCAAATAAACAACATATATGAAACTAGCTTTGTTGCCATGCAAATGCAGTTTCTAAATAAAACTCCTACATCCCCATTCTTACAATATTGCTACTTCCAAGTCCCACCTGTGTGGAAATCTGAAGCTACCACTGTTCTAACGGATTTATTTAGAGTCAAATAATTGATGGGGTTAGAAAAGGATTTAGAAGGCAGTATCAAGCAAAAGGTATTTTAAAGGGAATATTGAGTGAATTCTTACTTTGTTATAGGGGCTAATGATACAATGCTTAACAAGGCAACAATGCTTTATTGTTCCTCTGGCAATTATTGGAGATATAAAATGTATTGTTAAAAAAAATTAGGTGGGCGTTGTGGCATGCGCCTGTAAGGTACATACTGGGGAGGCTGAGGCAGGAGAATCACTTGAACTTGGGAGGCGGAGGCAGTAGTGAGCCGAGATCGCACCACTGCACTCCAGACTGGGTGACAAAGCGAGAGACTCCATCTCAAAAAAAAAAAAAAAAAAAGTATTGTTTCTGAGAACCTATTTCTTAGGCTCTTTTCTTAAAGAAAAAAATCTGGAATTACAAAAAAATAAATATTGTTTTAAATAGAGACTAGAGAGTGACCAAGAAAGTGTCAGGAAGCATTTCCAGAATTTTTAGAAGTTTTTTGGAAAAGTTACAAAACTAAATGTTACCTAATCAAATTTAAGCATTAACTGACATTGCTAAAAAATTACCCTTTTAAATTTGACTTCTTAATTGGTTTTGTTTTCCCATATGTGCTTTTTGGTTACATTCCTGAGGTCATTAGAGCACAATTTTTTAATTCTGGAAGGGAAATGAAGAACCTTAAGAAACACAAAGTTAATTGGAGCAAATAGGCAGCAATAATGGAATTAGTGGCATTGAGTTCAGACAAAGGATGGGTATAACACATTGAGGAAAGGCAGGAACCTCCTCCCACTCCACATGGCTGCTGTTCATGAGAATCACATTCTTTCTCTTGGTCTTTACCAACAGGTGTGGAGTTTGGAGCTCGTATGGTCAACATTGATGGAAAACAAATCAAACTGCAAATCTGGGATACGGTGAGAGTACAAAATAATTTAGTCTCTGACCAACATCCAAGTATAGTAAGAAAAGCCAATGCAAAGGAAAGCAGCGATGAGGGTGGGACTAATAGTGGGGATAAAATAGGGGAAAGGTGAAATCAAAGAGATAGAGAAGCTTTTGATTCTATCTGTTACAGTTACAAATTGTGGATGCTATATCTTTGTGTTGTAAACTGTCCAAGTAATATATTATTCTAGTAAAAATAAAATCAAACTATAAATTTATAGCATGGAAAGTAAATGTCTCCTTTTTATACATAAACGCTTTCTCCTTCCCCGTCTTGGTTGCTACTCTAGCAAGGGAATCATTACTGATGATTCCATGTGTATGCTTTCAAACTTTTTCTATGCATTTAGATACATACATATGAACAGGGAAATACAGGGAACACAGGTTGTGGAGACCTTTCCATATCCATACATAGAGATCTACTTCATTCCTAGAGATCTACTTCATTCCTTTTAACCACTGTGTAGTCATGGAATGTCAGTAGCATAATTTATGGAACCATCCTCCCTTTGATAGAAATTTGGGTTATTTTCCAATTTTTAATTATTGCAAAATTTCACTGAGCATTCTTTTTTTTTGAGACCGAGTTTCGCTCTTGTCACCCAGGCTGGAGTGCAGTGGTGTGATCTTGGCTCACTGCAACCTCCACCTCCTGGGTTCAAGCGATTCTCCAGCCTCAGCCTCCTGAGTAGCTGGGATTACAGGCACCCACCACCACACCTGGCTAATGTTTTTTGTATTTTTATTTTTTATTTTTTATTTTTTTGAGACAGAGTCTTGCTCTGTCATCCAGGCTGGAGTACAGTGGCATGATCTCGGCTCACTGCAAGCTCCGCCTCCCGGGTTCACGCCATTCTCCTGCCTCAGCCTCCTGAGTAGCTGGGACTACAGGCTCTTGCCACCATGCCTGGCTAATTTTTTGTATTTTTAGTAGAGACAGGTTTTCACCATGTTAGCCAGGTTGGTCTCGATCTCCTAACCTTGTGATACACCCGCCTCGGCCTCCCAAAGTGCTAGTATTACAGGCGTGAGCCACCGCGCCCAGCCGTTTTTTGTATTTGTTTGTTTGTTTGTTTTGTTTTTTTTTTTTGTTTTTTTTTTTTGGTTGTTGTTTTTTTTTTTGAGACGGAGTCTCGCTCTGTCGCCCAGGCTGGAGTGCGGTGGCGCAATCTCCACTCACTGCAAGCTCCGCCTCCCGGGTTCACGCCATTCTCCTGCCTCAGCCTCCCGTGTGGCTGGGACTACAGACGCCCACCACCGCGCCCGGCTAATTTTTGTATTTTTAGTAGAGACGGGGTTTCACCGTGTTAGTCAGGATGGTCTCGATCTCCTGACCTCCTGATCCGTCCATCTCGGCCTCCCAAAGTGCTGGGATTACAGGCGTGAGCCACCTTGCCCGGCCCGTTTTTTGTATTTTTAATAGAGATGGGGTTTTGCCATGTTGGCCAGGATGGTCTTGAACTGACCTCAGGTGATCCACCCACCTCAGCCTCTCAAAATGCTGGGATTACAGGCATGAGCCACAGTGCCTGGCCTGAACATTGTTATTTACTAAAATCTTTATGCAAATGTTTGAGAATTTTTGTGATACCTGCGCAGAAATGGAAATTCTATCAAAAACTTGTACATATTTTCAAAGTTGGTATATGTAGTAATGCCAAAATTTAGTTTGGCTTAGTGTAATTTTGCCCTATCCAGATAAATTGCTTCAGTGTGCATTATCTCATTTGATTTGTACCTTTTTCCCCCTAAGTAAAATAATACCTTAGTCTCCATTCTAGTTAAAGGGAGCTAGCAAATAGTTCATAATATCTGGCTAAAATCTCTTACTTTTTTTACTTACTTCTTATTATGGGATTCTGTTTCTTCTCTGAACTGAGAGCTAAAGCCATTATATCTACAAACAGTGTACAAATTATTTTTCCTTTTTTTCTTTTCCTCCCTTTCCTCCCCTTCCTTCCCCAGTGCTCCTTACCACACACAAGTGTATGTCTTAAAAGTAGTTGAAGCTTAAGTCCATCTGTCTATCCATCCATATCTACAGATCCATCCCCCGCCCCGCTGCACTGGGGAATTTTTGTATTTTTTGTAGAGACGGGGGTTTCAACATGTTGCTCAGACTGGTCTTGAACTCGTGGACTCAAGCGATCCGCCCTCCTCAGCCTCCCAAAGTGTTGGGATTGCACCTGGCCAAAATTAATGTTTTGATGCCAGGAAAAAACCCAATAAGTGCCATTTAATAGAATGGTCATGGCAGTGGCCTTTTTTCTTTTTTCTTTTAAGTGCTCATATGGGACATGGTTGGATCATGAAGGTAAGAAAGTTGAGAGCTTGATTCTGCTAAGAGAGAGCATAAAAAGAAAAACAAAAGAGGAAAGTTGAGAGCCACTACTTTGGACAGAATTCTTAAGAACTACACGGTCATCCAACTGGTCTAGATCTTTTCTCTTCCCTCTTAAAACTGTCTTGAGATTAATATTTGCTAAATCATAAAAAGAAACCAGTTTCAGAATACTGTGGTTTTCTATTTATTTTGAAAATTTTAAAAGATTCATACCTATAATGTTGTGTCCATCTAGTCTGTCGCCTTTTGGTGACCTGGTCATTTCTCCCTTGTCAGCCTTGATCTCCTTGATCTCCTGCCCATTGTTTACCCTCTTAGCTTCCCACTTTATTGACCCATTCTCTCACTTACTTCCAAAGCCATCCTATGTGAAAATGTTGAGGGATTACTGTGATAGGTGTTTTAAAGAGATCAGGTTGTCCAAACGTTTTTGTTGTCTTTGTTCTGACATTTATATGGATTTAGAGAAGCATATTTTTAAAAATCTTGTGTGTGTGTGTGTGTGTACGTATTCCTAAATTATCATGCTCATGAATAGGTATTTTACTGTAACATGTAAAATACTGATCAAATAATATCAACTTAGTTTGTATTTTACTTCGGAATGCATTTAAAAAAATTTTTTTCCTTAATAAACCCTTCAATGGAAGGAATGCATTTTGATTTTTAGGAAGATAGTGTATCTGACTTTCTAGGAGTTGATACTTCAAACTGTGTATCTTAAACAGTATAGTATGATGCTTCCACTTGGGAGAGATTAGAAAGCTATTAATTATCTTATCAAACCTTCATCTAGGCTGGGTGTTGTGGCTCATGCCTGTAATTCCAGCACTTTGGGAGGCTGAGGCGGGCAGATCACCTGAGGTCAGGAGTTCAAGACCAGCCTGGCCAACATGGTGAAACCCCGTCTCTACTAAAAATGCAAAAATTAACCAGGCGTGGTGGTAGGTGCCTATAATCCCAGCTACTTGGGAGGCTGAGGCAGGAGAATCATTTGAACCTGGGAGGCGGAGGTTGCAGTGAGCCAAGATCATGCCACTGCACTCCAGCCTGGGCAACAGAGTGAGACTCTCTCAAAAAAAAAAAGAAAAAGAAAAAAAAAAACCTTCATCTTAGTTCTTTGCTGCTGCGGATTTTCTTTTTTCTTTCTTTCTTTTTTTTTTTTGACACGGTCTTGCTCTGTCACCCAAGCTGGAGTACAGTGGCACCATCTCCACTCATTGTACCCTCAACCTCCCCAGTTCAAGCAGTCCTCCCACCTCAGCGCCCCAAGTAGCTGGGACTACAGATGTGCGCCATCACACCTGGCTAATTTTTTGTATTTTTTTTAGAGATGTGGTTTCACCATGTTGCCCAGGCTGGTCTCGAACTCCTGAGTTCAAGTGATCTGCCCACCTCGGCCTTCCAAAGTGCTGGGATTACAGGCATGAGTCACAGTGCCCAGCCTGCCACTGCAGATTTTTTTTACTGGGGATGGACAAGGACACCTGAGACTGATACAGACAAGCCCAGGTTGAACTACTCACTCTTTCTAGCTTACTGGTTCACAAACTTTGATTCATGAACTGGGTTGAGGTGAAGTAGAGTGATTTTTTTTTTTTTTTTTTTTTTTTAAATTTAGACGGAGTCTTGCTCTGTCGCCCAGGCTGGAGTGTAATAGCGCCATCTCGGCTTACTGCAACCTCCACCTCCTGGGCTTAAGCAATTCTCCTGCCGTAGCCTCCTGAGTAGCTGGGATTACGGGCGCACGCCACCAGGCCCAGCTAATTTTTGTATTTTTAGCAGCGACAGCGTTTCACAATGTTGGTCAGGCTGGTCTCAAACTCCTGACCTCGTGATCTGCCTGCCTTGGCCTCCCAAAGTGCTGGGATTACAGGCATGAGCCACTGCACCTGGTGAATGATATGATTTTAGAAGGTTTTCTCATGACCCACTGATAGCATTTTCAGCTGCTAAAGTTAAATGCTGCCATGTGATTGAACCCTCATGTGGGCCTCCCCCAAACTTTCCCTTTTAGTTCTTGGTAGGCTGTGAGGGAAGTAGAGGGAGACTTTCAACTATAGCAGAAGAGGAGAAAAAGTAAACACTAAAAGGAAAACAAGACCCAAATAATGTAAGACGTTAGGGAGTAAATATAAAACTTTAAGTATTTTTAAAATCTTTATTATTAGTATTATGACAAGGGACTTTAGAATTATTTTTTATTTTTAGATTCTGATGCTCTAACAGCTATGCAACTCCCTAAAATGTTTCTATGATTCTTTATAGAAAGAGATTCTTCTGTTGTTGGAAAATGAAGCTTAGAGTTAGTATACTGGAATTCTCTTCTCACCTGCAAACCCCAGTTTAGGTTATATGATATAGTGGCTAAGAGGACAAGTTTTTGTGCTAGGAAGTACTAAGATCCTAAGTTTAAACTATGGTTCTAGCACTTAATAAGCTTTATGATTTGGGGCTGTTTATTAAACTTATGTGAGCCTCATTTTCCCCATTTTTAAAAGGGAGTAATAGGCCAGGCGAGGAGGCTCAAGCCTGTAATCCCAGCACTTTGGGAGGCCGAGGCGGGTGGATCACGAGGTCAGATTGAGACCATCCTGGCTAACACGGTGAAACCCCCGTCTCTACTAAAAAATACAAAAAACTAGCCGGACGTGTTGGGGGACGCCTGTAGTCCCAGCTACTCCGGAGGCTGAGGCAGGAGAATGGCGAGAACCCAGGAGGCGGAGCTTGCAGTGAGCTGAGATCCAGCCACTGCACTCCAGCCTGGGCGACAGAGCAAGACTCCGTCTCAAAAAAAAAAAAAAAAAAGAAGAAGAAGAAATAATATATGTAATTGCCTCTTATAGTTCCCAACACATTATATACGCCAAAAAGTAGTTTATAGTACTATTGCAGTATTATAATTAGTATTACCACTATTATTGGTATTATACTATGAGAAAGCCATTTATCTTCCCACATCCTTAATCATGATTCTCCCATTTGTGACATATAAATTATAGTCTTTTTTTTTTTTTTTTTTGAGACAGAGTCTTGCTCTGTCGCCCAGGCTGGAGTGCAATGGCCAGATCTCAGCTCACTGCAAGCTCTGCCTCCCAGGTTTACGCCATTCTCCTGCCTCAGTCTCCCGTGTAGCTGGGACTACAGGCGCCTGCCACCTCGCCCAGCTAGTTTTTTGTATTTTTTAGTAGAGACGGGGTTTTACCGTGTTAGCCAGGATGGTCTCGATCTCCTGACCTCGTGATCCGCCCATCTCGGCCTCCCAAAGTGCTGGGATTACAGGCTTGAGCCACCGCGCCCGGCCGTAAATTATAGTCTTACCTCCTTTTATACAAGGATATGAGGATACATTATTTCAAGAATGTGAAAACTTTCTTAATAGGGTAGATTCAATGTACAGGGTATTCACATTATTTAAAAAAGTTTTTGTTTTCCCTAAAGGAGAAAAAAGAACTATTCCATCAATAAAGCAAAAATACCCAGTATTATGGGGGCATTAATAAATTATTCAGTTTTAAATAGAACTTAATATCTTTGTCCAACTGGAAGTGAGAACATTTGGATTTTTCTAGGAAAACTCTATGCTGGGCCCTGGGCTTCTTTCTCTGTTCCTTATTCCTGTTTCCCGTGACAGGAGCTCAGCAAGGGACATCTAGGTAGTCCTGCATTATCAGTGGAATGCTAAAGGTCAGTTAGAAGATACTCAGTTTAAGTGCTTTTAATCTAATTTTTATATCGATTCATTGGAATGAAATTTCTGTTAGACCAGGTTTTGGCATTCTAAGATAACTTTCATTTTTATAGATAGAGAAATAGGAACAGAAAGATTAATATGGTGTGTTCAATATCATATTTGGGATTGAAAAAAACGACATACACTCCGTTTCCAGTCCTATTTCCAGTTGTTCTTTCTCGAGGATATTGGGAAATGTATGCAAATGTCTTTATCACGCTGACTGTGGGGTGCCACGGGTATTTAGTGTCTGGGATCCAGGGTGCTAAACATCCACTAATCTGATGGACAGTCTCTCAGGAAGAGTAAGTGACTGCCCAAAATATGAATGTACTCCCATAGAAAAATACTGATTTCCCACTTGGGCTTCTTCTTGGGCAGGCATGTTTTCCTTCCCTAATTCTCTTCTTAATAGAAGTTCTTTTTTTAGTTAAGTCCTTTGTATTAGGGTGGCATGTGATCAAGTCAGTTCTGTGGAAATAACCTGGTTTTGTTGGGATTTTTTGTTGCCATGTTGGTGGGAAAGGCTGGGCAAGAATCCTTCCGTTCTATCACCCGTTCCTACTACAGGGGAGCAGCTGGAGCACTGCTGGTGTACGACATTACAAGGTGAGCCAGATCTGGTGCATGGGAGGGAGATTCTTCCCTACATCCTCTAAAGCTTTTTTTTTTTCTATCTACTGATTCTATTAAGGATGTTAACTAGGAATGGCCTAATATTTTTCTTTACACATATGGCTTCCCCTCTTTTCCTATACACTTGGAGTTGTTTTGGCCTTTTGAAGTGTCTCTCTGACCCACATTCTACATTTTTCTGCTGTAGGCGTGAAACCTTCAACCACCTGACCTCATGGTTAGAGGATGCCCGGCAGCACTCTAGTTCCAACATGGTTATCATGCTCATTGGGAATAAGAGGTAAAATTGTATCCATGTGAATAATAGTTAACAGGAGTCATCTAGGTACTCTATGCACGTTGAATATCTTGATCCCCAAACTTTCTCAGTTTATAGTAGTCTTAGTGTTTCAGTAAAAAAAAAATGTATTGTGATAAAATATATATGACACAAAATTTACCATTTTAACTATTTTTGAGTGTACAGTTCTGTAGCATTAAGAATATTCATTGTTCCCCAGCCGTCACCAACATCCGTCTCCAGAACTTTTTCATGTTCTCAGACTCTGTACACATTCAACACTAACTCCCATCTTCCCTCCCCAACCCCTCATCCCTCAGCCCCTGACAGCCATCATTCTACTTTCTTTCTCTATGAATTTGACTACTACTGGGACCTCATACAAGTGGACTCATGTAATATTTGTGCTTTTGTGACTGGCTTATTTCACTTAGCGTAATGTCTTCAAGGTTTATCCACATTGTAGCATGTGTGAGAATTTCCTTCCTTTTTAAAGATGAGTAATATTCATTGTATGCATATACCACACTCTGTTTATCCAGCTGTCCACGGACAGTTGGGTTACTGCCATCCTTTGACTATTGTGAATAATGCTGCTATGAACATGGATCTGTTCAAGTCCCGGCTCTGAATTCTTTTGGGTATATGCCCAGAAGTGGGATTGCTGGATCATATGGTAATTCTGTCTTTCAGTTTTTGAGGAACTGCCATACCATTTTCCATAGCAGCTGTCTTATTTTACATTATTTCCAGCAATGTACAAGGATTCCAGTTTCTCTACATCCTTAACAACACTTGTTATTCTCAGTAAATTTTTCTTGACACCCATAGGCCAAAAGAAATGCCTAATAGTTTTATTAAATAGTTATACCCAAATAACATGAGTATTTTTTATAACTACTTAGTAACTGTTGGAAAATAAAAAGGCCAGGCACGATGGTGTATGCCTGTAATCCCAGCTCTGGAAGGATTGCGTGAGCACAGAAGTTGAAGACCAGCCTGGGCAATATAGTGAGGCCTTGTTTATACAAAAAAATTTTTAAATGAGGTGGGAGGATCACTTGGGCCTGTGAGGTTGAGGCTGCAATGAAGCCATAATGTACCACTGCACTCCTGCCTCAGCAACAGAAGTGAGACCCTGTATAAAAAAAAAAGAAAAAATATGCTGGGCGTGGTGGCTCACGCTTGTAATCCTAGCACTTTGGGAGGCCAAGGCGGGCAGATCACAAGGTCAGGAGTTCGAGACCGGCCTGGCCAATAATATGGTGAAACCCCATCTCTACTAAAAAAATACAAAATGTAGCCAGGCATAGTAGCACGTGCTTCTAGTCCCAGCTACTCAGGAGCTTGAGGCAGGAGAATTGCTTGAACTGGGGAGGTGGATTTAGCAGTGAGCTGAGATAGTGCCACTGCACTTCTGGGCGTCCTGGGCGACGGAGTGAGACTTTGTCTCGAAAAAAAAATAAAAAATTGTTTTTAAATTTCATTCTTAAATAGCAACGGTTACTTACTAAAGACCTCTGTGTGTCTGCTGGGCACTGCATAGCTTCTCAAACCTTGAAATCATGATTGCACACTGCTACTGTCATTTCCCATTCCATATTGATTTTTGTGTAGTGCTTCCTTTTTTATAACAGCAACTGCCAAAAACAACTTTTCAGAAATATGAAGGTATTGAATGAATTTTATCATGATCTGATGTTGACATTGCAAATTGTCTTAAGCTTGTAATTCATGTAGTATCCTTGTGTTGAGTGTTACTGTGTTTTCCTCAAAAGTTTAAAGTATCCCATGGTACCCTTGTGAGTTTGTAGTAGTGCCCAGAGTGTACTATTTGAGAACCGTGGCCACAGGCTAATTGTTTTTGTTTGTTTTTGTTTCATTTTGTTTGAGATGGAGTTTCACTCTTGTCACCCAGGCTAGAGTGCAATGGTATGATCTCGGCTCACCACAACCTCCACCTCCTGGGTTCAAGCGATTCTCCTGCGTCAGCCTTCCAAGTAGCTGGGATTACAGGCATGTGCCACCACATCTGGTTAATTTTTTTGTATTTTTAGTATAGACGGGGTTTCTCCATGTTGGTCAGGCTGGTCTTGAACTCCTGACCTCAGGTGATCCGCCCGCTTTGGCTTCCCAAAGTGCTGGGATCACAGGCATGAGCCAACACACCCGGCCTGCTAATTGTTTTTATGGTATCAGTCAATTTGTTGAAAACTACTGTGCCAGACTCTGAGTTTGCAAGGTGGAAAAAAGTCATGCCCCTGCTCTTATGGAGCTTACAGTCTAGTGAGGGCATAGATGTTATTAAATATAAAATTATTTTTATCAAATTGTCAACTGTGATAAATGCAATGGAGGAAAAAGGGTGCTATGAAAGAATAACAGGGTACCTACTTTTGGTTAGGAGTGATATTAAGCTGGGATCTGAAGGATGGGCAAGAGCCTGCTGGGCAAAGATTTTTTTTTTTTTTTTTTTTTGAGATGGAGTCTTGCTCTGTCGCCCAGGCTGGAGTGCAGTGGCCGGATCTCAGCTCACTGCAAGCTCCGCCTCCCGGGTTTACGCCATTCTCCTGCCTCAGCCTCCCGAGTAGCTGGGACTACAGGCGCCCGCCACCTCGCCCGGCTAGTTTTTTGTATTTTTTAGTAGAGACGGGGTTTCACCGGGTTAGCCAGGATGGTCTCGATCTCCTGACCTTGTGATCCGCCCGTCTTGGCCTCCCAAAGTGCTGGGATTACAGGCTTGAGCCACCGCGCCCGGCTGGCAAAGATTTTTTAAAAGGGTGTTACTTAGGGGGAACAAACTATACAAATGCCTTGAACTTGGAAGAAGCTTGACACTTTTATTGAAAGAAACCTAGTATGATTGGACTAAATGCAAGATGAGGTTGGAAAAGTAGGTAGGGACTAGATTTCATAGCACCTTAGGGGCCTGAGTAAGGGTTTTGGATTTTATTCTAAATACATGGAAATTGAAGCTTGGGCGATGGGGGATTAAAAATAATAATAAATAAATACACTGGAAGCATTTTAAAGTTTTAAGTAGAGAAGTGGCTTGATCAGATTTTAAAAGATCACTCTGGAGGGGAACAAGGGCTGAAGTAGGATACTAGTTGCAATAGTCCAAATGAGAAAGAATGGTGGCTTGGTCTAGGAAGTGACCCCGGAAAGAGAGAGAAAAGGATGATTTTAAGGTATATGTTGGAAGTACTTCACTTTGGAATGGATTAGATATTTGGAGTAGTGAGGAATGGGTATCAATAACAACACTTTGGATGTTGGCTTATGCCATTTACTGAGATACAGAAGCCTGGAGCAAACACAGGCTGGGGGAAAAGAAGTTCCATTTTGATGTGTTAAGTTTGAAGTCCGTTTTAGGTATCAGTGTGGGAATAAAGAATTCACAAATATACAAATCTGGTGCTTTTAGTCAAGCATCTGGGCTAGAGGTATAAATTTGGGAGGGTTGACATTTAGATAGTTCTTCGTGGTCTTCACACAGCTGATGGTATAACAAATTAAAATATAGATTTGTTGTTCTTTAATGGTCTTACACTTTTTTTTCCAAGGAGTTGGAAAACTGGAAACCTCACAAACGAAAATTTTCAAATTGAAAAATACGAATCACGAACAGCCCAACCTTGCCTTATTCTTCAGTTGGTTTTTTTGGTTTGTTTGTTTTTTTTTTTTGAGACAAGGTCTCATGCTGTTGCCCAGGCTGGAGTGCAGTGACGTGCTCAGCTCACTGTAACCTCTGTTTCCTTGGCTCAAGAGATCCTCTCACCTCAGCCTCTCAAGTGGCTGGGACTACAGGCGTGTGTCACCACGCTCGGCTGATTTGTACATTTTTTGTAGGGACAGGGTCTCACTGTACTGTGCAGGCTGGTCTTAAACTCCTGGGCTCAAGTAATCCTCCTGCCTCAGCCTCCCACAGTGCTGAGACTATAGGCATGAGCCACCACGCCCAGATCTTCAGCCTTTTATCCTGTTTTTCATAAGGTGTTTTGATGCCATTTTTATTCCCTTTCTCAGTCCTTAGCTCTATCTTTTTTCCCCCATATCATCTAATTTTATCCATATCACTTTCTCTGAATTCCCTGGTGGCAAGCTGCTTTTATATGCACTAGTAGTGAAACCAGTTAGAATTAAGACAACTGTGTTTTCCTTATTCCTGGCTCATTCTCTTCTTGTGGATTGATTCCAGTAGAAAAGGAAGATGCTCATCACTGCTGGATGGGACATCTTATGGCTTTTCTACTTTCTAGTAACTAGAGTTTTCCTTTTTTTTTTTTTCAAGATACAGTCTTGGTCTGTCACCCAGGCTTCAGTGCAATGGCACGATCTCAGCTCACTGCAGCCTCCACCTCCCATGTTCAAGCAATTCTCCTGCCTCAGCCTCCCGAGTAGCTGGGATTACAGGCGCCTGTCACCACACTCAGCTAATTTTTGTAGTTTTAATAGAGACAGGATTTCACCATGTTGGCCAGGCTGATCTCGAACTCCTGACCTCGTGATCCACCTGTCTCGGCATCCCAAAGAGCTGGGATTACAGGCATGAGCCACTGTGCCCGACCGAGTTTTTTTTTTTTTTTTTTTCCCAATCATCTATACTTTGCTCTCCTTGATCTCATTGGAAAAACAAGCAATAGAGCATTAAGTTTTGTGTAACTATGGGGGCTTGCCTAACCCTTGATAAGCCTTTTTCTCTGTAATAGAGTGAGTTATTATCTTCAACTATGCAGCAGCTGTCCCAAAACTAAAGAATATTTTCCAAGAGGCTACAGAAATCAGTAACTCTATATAAGAGAGTATCTTGTAGGATCTATGTTCTTTATGAAATAACTGGCCATTGAAACCACGATGGAATTCTTTTAGAAATAGAGTTTCCTCTTTCACTTGGATCTTTTTTTAGTTTTCTCCTTAATTAATCTCTTGCAGTGACCTAGAGTCCCGCAGGGATGTGAAAAGAGAAGAAGGAGAGGCCTTTGCTAGGGAGCATGGACTTATATTCATGGAAACTTCAGCCAAAACAGCCTGCAATGTTGAAGAGGTACTATTTGGAAAACAGTGGGGAAAACTCTTTAGAGATTACACCATTATTTGTCCTTTTATTCAGAATTCTCTTCTCCTATAAGAAATGGGTAAAGAAAGGATGTCTTGGCCAGGTGCGGTGGCTCACACCTGTAATCCTAGCGTTTTGGGAGGCCAAGGCAGGCGGATTGTCTGAGATCAGGAGTTTGTGACCAGCCTGGGCAATATGGTGAAACCCCATCTCTACTAAAATACAAAAAATTAGCCGGTCATGGCAGCATGTGTCTGTAGTCCCAGTTACTCAGGAGGCTGAGGCAGGAGAATTGCTTGAACCCAGGAGGCGGAGGTTGTAGTGAACCAAGATCCTGCCACTGCACTCCAGCCTGGGCAACAGAGCGAGACTCCATCTCCAAAAAAAAAAAGGGAAAGGATGTCTTGTGGTCATAGTGACTACTTCTCTCATTGCTTTTAAAGGAATTGTCCCATTTTCTTTTACCCTGATTCCCAAGGTTTTACTTTTGCTTTGGGTAATATTAGTTGGCAAGTGTGAATTAGACACCACACTTGTTACTAGTAAATCACTCTGGTTGGAGTGTATAATGGATTCTACTGTAGTCATTCCTAGGCCTAGTGTTGATGGTATCTTCAGTAACTAGTGGAGAATAGAGTGTGTTTGTTTTATTTGTAGAAGATGCCAGCCTAGGAACATCTTGGGTCAGTACCAGAATACCACATAATCCTTTTTTTTTTTTAAACTACTCTTAATGGCTTTTACAAGGACATTTGGGGGACCTTCTGTGTTTTGTTTTGTTTTGTTGAGACTGAGTCTCGTTCTGTCGCCCAGGCTGGAGTGCAGTGGCACGATCTCAGCTCACTGCAACCTGGGCTCCCGGGTTTAAGCGATTTTCATGCCTCAGCTGCCCGAGTAACTGGAATTACAGGCATGCATCACCACGCCTGGCTGATTTTTGTATTTTTAGTAGAGACGGGGTTTTACCATGTTGGGCAGGCTGGTCTTGAACTCCTGACCTCAAGTGACCTGCTCGCCTTGGCCTCCCAAAGTGCTGGGATTACAGGCATGAGCCACTGCGCCCAGCCGACCATCTATGTTATTTTACTGTTTTCTAATTCACCTTAGAAATTCAAATATGAATAATAATTAATATTCTCTTTCCCTTATTTCTCTACTTGAACTTGAGACTGATGATATGATTTATGTCTCTTTCAGGCCTTCATTAACACAGCCAAAGAAATATATAGGAAGATCCAACAGGGTTTATTTGATGTCCACAATGAGGTAAGAAAGGGTAGAAGTGCTGGCAGTTAACTTTGGTTTGTTCTGAATAGAACTGGAGGTTCCCTAGAATGGAATGCTTACATTCCCCATCTATCATTATACAATTTAAAAGCTCTGCCAATTCAACTTTTTTTTTTTTTTTTAAATCTAGGTACACAGAGACCTGTCATCATTTTCTGTTTTCCTCAAGTCTGACACCCAAAATGCTTAAAGAGATTATTGGTGATCTAAAAGACTTATACAATATGGGAGATTTTCTTGTCAACCTCAGTTTTTTACTATTGTAGAACATAAGGGAGGTATAATTTATAATGGCTTACGAGAGTAATTTCTATAAAGCAAATTCTGGAACAAAACAAAAAGAATCATATGCTACTTCTGCTCTTTGCCTCCTCCACTCTTACCTAATCACAACCTAATTCTGCACATAGCTATGACATTTAAGTATAATATGGTCCCCTAAAAATGAGCACAGGGGCCAGGTGTGGTGGCTCATGCTTATAATCCCAGCACTTTGAGAGGCTGAGCTGGGGAGATTGCTTGATGCCAGGACTTCAAGACCCACCTGGGCAACAAAGAGAGACCCCGTCTCTAAAATGAGCACGGGGGGCAGTGGTGCACCCGTAGTCTCAGCGATTTGGGAGGCTGAGGCAGGATCACTTGAGGCCAGAAGTTTGAGGCTATAGTGCACGCTGGTCATACCTGTGAATAGCCACTGCACTACAGCCTGGGCAATGTAGGGAGACCTCATTTCCTCAAGGAAAAAAAAAGTACACAAAAGCCACTTGTAGTCAACTAGAATATTTAGACCATAGGTAGTCATCTTATTCTTACTGTCATAGATTATTGTTCCACATCAGTCTGGCTAGGGCACCTGGTTACCTGCCAAGGTCAAATCTGCTTTTAGAAAATATAATTAATGATTTATCCTTTCTCCCCTTTCTTTTTTCTTTCTACCCTGGGATACAAGCAGAGATAGCCCCCTCCTCTCTCTAATTCACTTTAACACTGAGGTGGGAACTATTGCCTCTTTTCTTTTACAGGCAAATGGCATCAAGATTGGGCCCCAACAGTCAATTTCAACATCAGTGGGACCCAGTGCCTCCCAGCGGAACTCTCGTGACGTAGGGTCCAACTCTGGCTGCTGCTGAACATCTGGCTTGAACTTTTTTTTTCCTTCCTGGAATAGCTTCAGATCAATAGGCTTAATGAAAGAGGTCTTTCTTGCTTTGGCTGAGAGCAGCCTCTTTTTAAAGTGTGATGTTTTGCCTTTCCACCTAAAGACCAGGAGAGAATTTGGGCCCTTACTGACTGTCCTCCTTCAAGGACATGAGCATTCCGTATAGATTAGGGTTCTTCTTATCTTCCTATACTAATTTCTTAAATCGTTAGGATCAAAGTTGATTATCACAGTAGTTAAAAAAAAATAATTTCACGGTGGGGCGCCATGGCTCATGCCTGTAATCCCAGCACTTTGGAAGGCCAACGCTGGGGGATCACCTGAGGTCAAGAATTCGAGATCATCCTGACCAACATGGAGAAACCCCGTCTCAACTAAAAATACAAAATTAGCTGGGTGTGGTGGCGCATACCTGTAATCCCAGGTACTCGGGAGGCCAAGGCAGGAGAATCACTTGAACCCAGGAGGCGGAGGTTGCGCTAAGCTGAAATTGTGCCATTGCACTCCAGCCTGGGCAACAAGAGCGAAACTCTGTCTCGATAAATAAATATATATATATATTTTTGAGACGGAGTCTTGCTGTCTCCAGGCTGGAATGCACTGGCACAATTTTGGCTCACTGCAGCCTCCACTTCCCGGGTTCAAGCAATTCTTCTGCCTCAACCTCCTGAGTAGCTGGGACTACAGGTGCGTGCCACCACGCCCAGCTCATTTTTGTATTTTTAGTATAGGCGGGGTTTCACCATGTTGGCCAGGATGATCTTGATCTCTTCACCTCATGATCTGCCCACCTTGGCCTCCCAAAGTGCTGGATTACAAGCGTAAGCCACTGTGCCTGGCCTAAATAAATAATTTCATAAGCATATACAGTCTGCTCCCCACTAAGAATTAGGGTCAAGGACATTCTGCTTGAACACTTGGAATTACCCAGATTTGGTTGGCCTTTGGTTGATAGATCCTCTGCCTCAGAATTTCATTGAGTTTTTTCCTTCCTTGCCTTTGAGGGTCTACTTGCCACTTCCTAAGAATTCTTGTAGAAAGCAGTTCCTTCTACTTGCCCAAGAGCACTGAGTACTTCTCTACTATCCTATTGTTAGCTTCTATCTCTTAGTGTAACTTCAAAACTTTTAAGAGCAGTGGAGTTGGTCAGGGACATGTGGCCACTTATTATTACCTAAGGAAAACATTTGTTCCCTATTCATTTTATTTTAGGGACCAGATCTAACATTGTAGTGTCTTTCACCAGATAGACTTCTACTGTTTCATCAAACTCCCTTCTTAACTAGAACTAGACTTTCTACTCCAATCAGGCTAATCTACTTGCTGAATGTGACGTATTTATTCCTAGCTCCATATGTGTGCACATGCCCTACTCTCCACTAACTATACTTAAAAGTCCAAAAATTTTTTCTTTAGTAACAGACTTAGGTACTTCTAAGCAATTATTAACACAATATTCCTTAGTTTTCATATGTTGGTTATTCATACGTATATTTATATGTATATTTATTTTTATGTATGTTACTATGTAAATATGTTTTGCGTTGTTTTTGTGTGGAATCTTGTCTTTCCATATAAGTTGTAAGCTCCTTGAGAGCAGGATCCATGTCATTCCTTTATTTTTATAAATCATTCCCCCATCATTCCTTTACAGTGCCTAGTGCTACTCATTATGTGTTCATTGAATTTGACTGACATACTTAAAAACTTAAGGTTTATTTTAGACTTTAAGGGAAACAAAAGACTTGAGTCCTCTCTTTGTAATTCTGCCCCTCTCATTTGTTTACCCTGGGTTTTATACTGTTCTTTTCCTTCTCCCCTCCCACCTTTCCATGGCTCTTTGCCTCCATTCCATGAGGCATACAGTAAGGCTACCTGCTAGTAAGCAGTCAGATAAGTGGGTACCTATCCAGCCATTCTCTTTTCAGAGCATATAATACTATCTTAGCCAAATTTGCCTTTGCTTCACTCATCATGCAGCCTTCTGGATTGGTTGCTATATGTATCTTTTTTCCTTGATTTCCCATTCTCTTCCACAGCACTGAGGCCTCATGAATCTTTCTACTTTCTTTTTGCTGTTGATGAATTGTTTCATTATTAAATATATGCATGTATCAAAGCTGTTCATACTCCATGTGTCATTTCTGGTTGTATCCCAAACATTAGTAGATCCTCTCCTCTTAGGGAATTAAATCAAAGATAATGAAGAAGCCTCTTTGGGATTCATTTTGTACTAGATTCTGACCCCAGTAGTAGTAGTAATAGTTAACAGTGCACCACAGGAAGTTGGAAGATATTTGGGGTATTGCTTCGGTTATGCTTTTGTTTTGTTTTTAAAATCCTACTTGATTCTAGAATTTGAAGTTGTTGAATTTGGAGTTAGCCTGCCCCTTTACCTCTAGGACAAAACTGAAGTAATAATAACTGGTTTCTGTACAGAAGGTTTTGTTGTTTTTTTTTTTAACTACCCCCCAAAAAAATCTTTAGCAATTGAGAAGCATTAGAAGATTGGTCAAAGACAGCATTCTGCCTAGAGCTACTGCTTTCAGAGTCAATAAAGGATACTATTTTGGTATTTTGGAGCACAGTTTTTTAATATTAATGCCCATATCTTGTTCTATTATCCAAGCCAACTTATGACCTTCTGTACTTAGGTATTGCACCAATTGTAAGGGAAGCATGAGAAAAAAAGTATCTGGGTAAAATCATGATCTGTATTTTGACTGAAGTGGTCATGAAGAATTATAAAAAGTGGATCTCCCACCCCATATGAAGAATGGTAGTTACGAAATAATGTCCACTTTTTTTTTTTTTTTCCTTCTATAGTCTTACCAATGTCCTTTGGTTTTTGAAGGCCAAGACCATTGGAAATCATACTAAGATCAGTGTAGGTAGCAGAAATGGGTTCAGGCACACCTGCTCCCCTTTCCATAATATCTATAGCTCCTTTGATGACAGGTCTATTCTGTACCAGATGGATAATAGACTCTCATCCTAGAAACTATTAAGGTTATATCTGTATATGCATTTACAGACACATTGTTCTAATCTTAATACTAACATCAAATTGATATAATGGCAGCAGTAGCCAGGAGAGAATTTAGTTGACAGATTTTTTTTTTTTTTGAGATGGAGTTTCTCTGTTGCCCAGGCTGGAGTGCAATGGCGCCATCTCGGCTCACCACAATCTCCGCCTCCCGAGTTCAAGCGATTTTCCTGCCTCAGCCTCCCGAGTAGCTGGGGTTACAGGCATGCGCCACGACAGCCGGCTAATTTTGTATTTTTAGTAGAGACGGGGTTTCTCCATATTGGTCAGGCTGGTCTCGAACTCCCGACCTTAGGTGATCCACCCACCTCGGCCTCCCAAAGTGCTGGGATTATGTACGTGAGCTACCGCACCCGTCTTGACTGACAGATTTTGATACACAGGGAAATGGATGTGGCCAAGTCTTTTTTTTTTTTTTTTAGATGGAATTTCACTCTTGTTGCCCAGGCTGGAGTGCAGTGGTGAGATCTCGGCTAAGCACAATCTCCACCTCCCGTGTTCAAGCGATTATCCTGCCTCACTCCCGAGTAGCTGGGATTACCGGTGCCTGCCACCACGTCCGGCTAATTTTGTGTGTGTGTGTGTATATTTTTAGTAGAGACGGGGTTTCACTATGTTGGCCAGGCTGGTCTCGAACTCCTGACCTCAGGCAATCCACCCGCCTCAGCCTCCCAAAGTGCTGAGATTAAAGGCGTGAGCCACCGCGCCCAGTTTAAGGCCAAGTCTTATCACTCATATGACTCCTTAATGGCTCTGAGCTACTATGTAATACCATGCAATTATGTTACTCCTTGAGAAATTCCTTTAATAATCTGGAAGGATTCCCTCACTCACAACTTTAAAAAAGAGATTTCTTGGCCAAGAATGGTGGCTCACGTCCGTAATCCCAGCACTTTGGGAGGCCGAGGTGGGCGGATCACTTGAGGTCTGGAGTTTGAAACCAGCCTGACCAACATGGCGAAACCCCGTCTTTACTAAAAATACAAAAATTACCTGGGTGTGGTGGTGTGCGCCTGTAGTCTCAGCTACTCAGGAGGCTGAGACAGGAGAATTGCTTGAACCCGGGAGGCAGAGGTTGCAGTGAGCCGAGATCGCCCCTCTGCACTCCAACCGGGGTGACTGAGCGAGACTCCGTCTCAAAAAAGAAAAAGGAATTCCTCCTTAAATCCTGTTCTTGATTTCCAACTGATTCACAGTGCCCCTACTGGAAAATTTGCAGTGAATCATAAAGATTAGTAGCACCTAGTATAGATACATGTCCTGATATTTTGAGTGAGCTGGCCATAAAGGATTACCCTAGGAAACTGTAACTTTCACTGTCATTAGAATTATTTTTTGCTTATTCGATTTGTTAAAATTGCTTTACTCCTACAGTTAAGTGAGAGGGTGGTGGTGGTTGCCCGTAACCACATACGGCATTATTCCAAGGGTTTCACGTCGTGACTGAGGGGCATCCTGAGTGTATACAGAGAGTATGTTCGGGCTGGACCTAGATAGTCGGACACAACGCCGACAGGGGCTTCAGATTCTTTAAGCACTCTCACCCCGTTCCCGAGTCTGCGCCAAGATGGCTTCCCAGAAGTAGGTAACTAAGTGTTATTTTAGTTCAGAGCGCCCCCAATGGCGGGGGTCAAATATAGATGCCGAGGGACCTGGTCGCCTGTGAACTGAGCCGTCAGAGGCGAGCCGCCGCCAGATTTTATTTTCAATCAGGCATATTTGTGGTCGCCTACGTACCCGTCTCATCCTCCTAGGACCTTCCACTCTCAAGAGACTTCCTGGATGGCGCTCACATTAGCTCGCTGGAAGAGGCCGGGCTTCGGTGCTGCCATTGGCGGATGGGAGCGCAGGGGGGCGGAGCCTAGGGAGAATGGACTACTAGCAAGCTAGATTGAGGCGAGGGCTGGCCATGCTCCGCCGGAAGGCGCCTTGTTCTCGGAGAGGGTGAGTTGAAACACTGCCTGGAAAGGAAGCACCAGGACTTGCACAGGTAAGCTTCCCGCTCACACCCGCTCCTCAGTGCTGGGCCAGGAGTCAGCAAAAGCTGAGGCTCTCAGAGATTTGATTTAAGTAACTCCTCCTCCTCTCTCTTCCACCCCCTGCTCGCCCCCTAGTTGGGAGGGATCAGGTGCGGGGTGATGCTCCGGACTGAACCAGTCTCCTTTGTGAGAGGTCGGGGGAGAGGGTGGCTGCCGGGCCGAGCCGCGAGGGACTGCCTGGGACGCTGTGGAGTTTTTAGGGCTTGTCATTGCATTACTGGGCGTAGTGTAGATTGGAGGCGGCGCCTTGTTCTCCTCTCTTCAGAGAAGGGAAAACTCCCCGGCCCCGTTTGGTTACTCCATACTTTGGATTCAGAAATCAGTGGTTAGGGTTTTCTACTTCTTTTTATTGTTCTTTTTTCTTCTGTATTTTAATAATAAAGGTGGGTAGGAAAGCATGGGGTAAGCGTATGCAGATTTTTACTTATTCTCAGGTGTAAGTTTTGTGGGTCTCCTGGGAGTGAAGAGCAGGCTGTTGGAGAATGTTTAGAGATGGTGGGAAGACAGGAGCTCAAGCCTTGGATCTTCCTTGACAGGTCTGCAGAACTCAGTGGTTTACTTCACTGATAGAAGACCCCTCCCCCTGCCTTGGAGCGAATGCAGTTTTTTTATTTACCTGTCTCTAGTGTCGCAGGGAATTTCCCTGCAGAAGCTGTGCAAATGCAGCAGTCTCTTGCTTTTTAGGCGACAGTCTTGAAGTGATTAGGGTCTTCACAGAAAAGGTATATAGTGGACCGATCTCTTTTGTATCGCTAAGCAAAGTGAGCCATAAGGCAGAGATTTAGAACTCTGTCTTTTTCTATTAAAGAATAAAGAGCGGAGCGCCCCAAACACAAGCCAGGGGAGCTGCCTTATCAGTGTCTGCTCCATCCTCTGCCATCACACCAGTGTCTACAGATCGTTTCATCTCCATGCTTTTCTGAGTTTGTCGACTCAGGCAAGGATTCTCAGCCTAGGTTAGCATCTGCTGAAGTCATCTGGTATGGGGCACATTACATATCGAAAGTGAGTTTGTGATTTGGATAGTGTCCTGTATTAGTTAATTAGATCATGTTTTCTGCTTAGGAATTTCTTTTGTATTGGTCACCCAATAGGTTTCAGAACAAATCCTAGTCAACCTCATAGAGCAAGATGTGAGAAACTTATTTCAAGTACTTGGAATTATCCCAACCCTTAAAAAAAGAGTTATGATAAGAAAAACATTTTCCATGTAAGAAGACCTTCTGCTACAAGAGAGGCGTGCCAGTGGATCTGAAGGCAAGTGAAAGACATTGGCCAAAGAGAGAGTAGGCATGTGTGAAGAGACAGGCTTGGGAGAAGGTTTAAAACTGAAATAGTGGGCTAGGCGCCGCGGCTCACGGTTGTAATCCCAGCACTTTGGGAGGTGGAGGCGGGCGGATCACTTGAAGTCAGGAGTTCGAGACCAGCCTGACCAACGTGGTGAAACCCCGTCTCTAAAAGTACAAAAAATACAAAAAAAAATTAGCTGGGCATGGTCACGTGCGCCTTTAGTCCCAGCTACATGGGAGGCCAAGCCATGAAAATCGCTCGAACCCTGGAGGTGGAGATTGCAGTGAGCCAAGATCGTGTCATTGCATTCCAGCCTGGGCGACACATCGAGAGCGAAATAGCAAAGGAGTAATGGATTGGGATAAGGGATATAATGGAACAATGTATGAGTACTTGAACAGTTTTTGTATTCTCCATGTTTGATCTGTCCTGTGCATCTGCTCTTTTGATTTTGTCAGTTTTCCTTTTTTTGAGACAGAGTCTTGCTCTGTCACCCAGGCTGGAGTGCAATGGCACGATCTGGGCTCACTGCAACCTCTGCCTCCCAGGTTCCAGCAGTTCTCCTGCCTCAGCCTCCCGAGTATCTGGGATTACAGGTGCTTGCCACCACACTTGGCTAAGGTTTTTTTTTTTTTTTAGTAGAGACGGGGTTTCACCGTATTGGCCAGGTTGGTCTTGAACTTCTGACCTTGTGTTCCTCCTGCCTCGGACTCCCGAAGTGCTGGGATTACAGGCATGAGCCACTTTTCTAAGC